CAACTTATGAATATCCCATTCAGCTGTCCCTTTAACACTGTTACACTTTTTATCTCATTAATGATGTAACATATCAATAGTTGTGGCACCTTTGTATTGAATATCCTCTATTTGTTTTAATATTATCATAGGAAACAAATTATCGTGAAGAAACATCAATTTGTTTACTTTCCTTCATTGCAGGCTGGTTCCTGTCCATGGCAAAAGGTGACAATTTCATCAAACGTCTCCAACCAATGGACGATCTTCCCATGTTATATGAACACAGATTCAGAGGGACGGAAACACTCAACAAAACACTTGGATTCCTCCTGGTAAGAGTGAGTGAGTGTAGTTTTACGCCGCTTTAAGCAATATTCGAGCAATATCGAGGCGGGGACACCAGAAATGGGCTTCACACATTGTATTGTAGGTAATCGAACCCGGGTCTTCGGCGTGACGAGCGAACGCTTTAACCACTAGGCTACCCCACCGCCCCTATTTGTTTGTAATGGTATAGTTGAGTGTGACTTGAGTAAAACAAGATCGGTGTATATTATTTATGTGTCAATCTTATTATTTTGTATTATTTAAATGAACTCGAAATTGAGTGGACAATCATGCCATTTTTCATTTTAATTGTGTATGTTGTTTGTTATCTAATTGTCTCTTGTCGCATAAAAATCAGCAGCTGTCAAAAGGAAACGCAGAATGACCAAGAAACGAGCCTTTATTAAAGTGTTGTAAAACTTAAAAGAAGCTTAGTAAATGTACTAGTGCAGTTCATTATGTGCATTGTGTGCAGAAGATAAGTAACTATCACTTGACACGTGAGTACACTTTGTTCTTCGGAAAGTAATCATTACTGACCGGTACATTTTACCAATCAACGATAGGCCATATTCAAATCTTCACTAGTTTGTAAAGTCGTCAGAGAGGACAGTGAAAACAACATAAATGATATGTATTTTCACATGATCATCTGCTCACTTTCCACTGGACACAGTCTTCCATCTGAGTGGTCCCTGAAGATAGATTACACCGTTATTTGTTCATGTTGCATTTTCACCCAATTTGTTTTGACATGTCACATATGAGTTGGAAGCAGAGGAATAGGGTGATGACAAGGTGTGGGGAAGTCATCTGATGGTGATGACGTAAGACCCATTTGTGTGACTGTGTGTGTGTTGATGTAATCTGATGATGATGACGTAAGACCCATTTGTGTGACTGTGTGTGTGTTGATGTCAGAGTGTGTTGATGTAATCTGATGATGATGACGTAAGACCCATTTGATTGACTGAGTGTGTGTTGATGTCAGAGTGTGTTGATGTAATCTGATGATGATGACGTAAGACCCATTTGTGTTACTGTGTGTGTGTTGATGTAATCTGATGATGATGACGTAAGACCCATTTGTGTGACTGTGTGTATGTGATGATGTCAGAGTGTGTTGATGTAATCTGATGATGATGACTTAAGATCCATTTGTGTTACTGTGTGTGTGTTGATGTAATCTGATGATGATGACGTAAGACCCATTTGTGTGACTGTGTGTATGTGATGATGTCAGAGTGTGTTGATGTAATCTGATGATGATGACTTAAGATCCATTTGTGTTACTGTGTGTGTGCTGATGTAATCTGATGATGATGACGTAAGACCCATTTGTGTGACTGTGTGTATGTGATGATGTCAGAATGTGTTGATGTAATCTGATGATGATGACTTAAGATCCATTTGTGTTACTGTGTGTGTGTTGATGTAATCTGATGATGATGACGTAAGACCCATTTGTGTGACTGTGTGTATGTGATGATGTCAGAGTGTGTTGATGTAATCTGATGATGATGACTTAAGATCCATCTGTGTTACTGTGTGTGTGTTGATGTAATCTGATGATGATGACGTAAGACCCATTTGTGTTACTGTGTGTGTGTTGATGTAATCTGATGATGATGACGTAAGACCCATTTGTGTTACTGTGTGTGTGTTGATGTAATCTGATGATGATGACGTAAGACCCATTTGTGTTACTGTGTGTGTGTTGATGTAATCTGATGATGATGACGTAAGACCCATTTGTGTTACTGTGTGTGTGTTGATGTAATCTGATGATGATGACGTAAGACCCATTTGTGTGACTGTGTGTATGTGATGATGTCAGAGTGTGTTGATGTAATCTGATGATGATGACTTAAGATCCATTTGTGTGACAGTGTGTGTGTTAATGTCAGAGTGTATTGATGTAATCTGATGATGATGACGTAAGACCCATTTGAGTGACTGAGTGTGTGTTGATGTCAGTGTGTTGATGTAATTGCATGATGATGTAAGGAACATTTGTGTGACTTTTGTGTGTGTTGATGTCAGGTGTGTTGATGTAATGGGATGATGATGTAAGGAACATTTGTGTGACTGTGAGTGTGTGTTGATTTCAGGGTGTCGGATGTAATCTGATGATGATGTAAGACCCATTTGTGTGACTTTGTGTGTGTGTGTGTTGATGTCAGGGTGTGTCGATGTAATTGGATGATGACGTAAGGAACATTTGTGTGACTGTGAGTGTGTGTCGATGTAATCTGATGATGATGTAAGGAACATCTGTGTGACGGTGAGTGTGTGTTGATGTAATCTGATGATGATGTAAGGAACAGTTGTGTGACTGTGCATGTGTGTTCTGATGTCAAGGTGTGGGGAGGAAATCTGACGATAATGTTAGGAACATTTGTGTGACTGTGTGTGGTTGTTGATGTAATCTTATGACATCGAAAGGAACATTTGTGTGACTGTTTGTATGTTCATGTCAGGGTGTGTGATGTAATGGTATGGTGATGATGACGTATAGTGGTGTGGTGTGTAGTGGTGTGGTTGAGTAGTGCGGTGGAGGTAGTGTGTCGTTGTGTTGTGTGGAGGCCTTGGTGTAGTGTCGTGGCGCTAGAGCAACATAGTGGAATGAGTCATTGTTTTAAGTAGCATCAACAATGTGAGTGTAACGTACACTGTGGTCTAATTAGACATGCTTTCCCCTTCTCTGTCCGCAGTTTTGTCGTTGTCTTCTCTGGGTTGCAGATTGTTATCAGCAATGTAACGTTGCAAGAAGGCTCGGCAGGCGTTGTATCCACGCTGCAAAGGCATCATTATCATAAGTTTTTGCGTGCATAGTTTGTGAAATATTTAATTTGGTTGAGAAACACTTAAATAATATAATAATGTGTCGTCCATTGTTCTGTTAAACCTACCCACCCACTGCAAAGACAGATTAATTATGGTTATCAATCAATCTCATGTTGTCTAACTTCTTTGGAGTAGTAAGCTTCGACAAGGATCCTCACTCTGTCCGCAGGTTTCTGTATGTAGACAAACACTTACCATGACAACGAACCTCTTGTCCGCATCCTCCAGCTCGAAGTCTGTGGTGTCCACATGTCCAGTGTTGATGCCAACAGTCCTGTCAATGTCACACGGCTGTTGGATGAATGAATATTTCAATAAAGCATTTGATTTCATCGTTTGAAAATTTATAAAAAAGAATAGTTACTTGTAATACTTTCAGATGTTCACCTCTATAGCCTCAATGCAAAACAAATATCTATGACTAGTTGCCGTGTAGTGTATTCTTCACACCACTGACAAAAAAACGAGGGGTGTATGTGTGTGTGTGTGTGTGTGTGTGTGTGTGTGTGTGTGTGTGTGTGTGTGTGTGTGTGTGTGTGTGTGTGTGTGTGTGTGTGTGTGTGTGTGTGTGTGTGTGTGTGTGTGTGTGTGTGTGTGTGATAGCTTAGTGGTTCAAGCGTTCGCTCGTCACGCCGAAGACCCAGGTTCGTTTCCCACAGGGCTAAAAATGTGCGAAGCCCATAGCTGGTGTCTCCCGCCGTGATATTGCTGGAATATTGCTAAAAACGGCGTAAAACTATACTTACTCACTCACTGACTGTACCTTTTTTCCTTTGCACCGTTTGTTGCAGTATTGTTTTCCAGGTTAAAGTTTACGTGCCTATGCATGTATTTGAGATGGTTGCCATGCTACCAAGGGTAGCACACGCTAGCCTGTTAGAGAAGACCTGGTTTTATCACTATTTGATAATCATTCATAACACATGCTGACGCTACAGTCGGAATTGTGCAATAGAATTTTTTATTCATATATATGAACGTAATCATGCCACGCTATTGAAAACCTAGTCTCAAGTAAATTGTGTTTAAAGAATAAAAAAAAACCGTCTCTGTGATTTAAGGCCGTGTTCAGAAACATGGTCTGTAAATAATGGGTAAGGCAATCCAATGGTCGACATCGTGAGCATCAGTCTATTCAGTTAGGATACGATGGCAAGCATCCATCAAGACAGTGAGTCTGACCACCCGATACTATTTGTCATCTTCTATGGAGAGCATTGGTCAATGCAAAGATATTCCAACCCAGTTCTTCAAGTGTTTTCCTGGAACCGATTGGCCTGATATTGGGTTAAAACTAATATACTTTATTCCTTTTACACAATATTTAGGTAAGGTTTACATTGTCCAGGTCGACAAAACTATAAAATCCAACCATGGCATTTGGTTTTCAAGTATTGTTTTGGTTAATTTGATAATTGATAGAGCAAGAGGATCTGAGTGGGAAATCAGCGACGTGTAACGTGATTGAGTGAGTGAGTGAGTAACACTCACCGCTTGTAACAATATTCCAGCAATATCATGGCGGGGGAAACCAGAGATGGGCTTCACACATTGTACCCATGTGGGGAATAGAACCCGGGTCTTTGGCGTGACGAGCGAACGCTTTCACCACTAGGCTACCCCACCGCCCCTATTTGTTTGTAATGGTATAGTTGAGTGTGACTTGAGTAAAACAAGATCGGTGTATATTATTTATGTGTCAATCTTATTATTTTGTATTATTTAAATGAACTCGAAATTGAGTGGACAATCATGCCATTTTTCATTTTAATTGTGTATGTTGTTTGTTATCTAATTGTCTCTTGTCGCATAAAAATCAGCAGCTGTCAAAAGGAAACGCAGAATGACCAAGAAACGAGCCTTTATTAAAGTGTTGTAAAACTTAAAAGAAGCTTAGTAAATGTACTAATGCAGTTCATTATGTGCATTGTGTGCAGAAGATAAGTAACTATCACTTGACACGTGAGTACACTTTGTTCTTCGGAAAGTAATCATTACTGACCGGTACATTTTACCAATCAACGATAGGCCATATTCAAATCTTCACTAGTTTGTAAAGTCGTCAGAGAGGACAGTGAAAACAACATAAATGATATGTATTTTTACATGATCATCTGCTCACTTTCCACTGGACACAGTCTTCCATCTGAGTGGTCCCTGAAGATAGATTACACCGTTATTTGTTCATGTTGCATTTTCACCCAATTTGTTTTGACATGTCACATATGAGTTGGAAGCAGAGGAATAGGGTGATGACAAGGTGTGGGGAAGTCATCTGATGGTGATGACGTAAGACCCATTTGTGTGACTGTGTGTGTGTTGATGTAATCTGATGATGATGACGTAAGACCCATTTGTGTGACTGTGTGTGTGTTGATGTCAGAGTGTGTTGATGTAATCTGATGATGATGACTTAAGATCCATTTGATTGACTGAGTGTGTGTTGATGTCAGAGTGTATTGATGTAATCTGATGATGATGACGTAAGACCCATTTGATTGACTGAGTGTGTGTTGATGTCAGAGTGTGTTGATGTAATCTGATGATGATGACGTAAGACCCATTTGTGTTACTGTGTGTGTGTTGATGTAATCTGATGATGATGACGTAAGACCCATTTGTGTGACTGTGTGTATGTGATGATGTCAGAGTGTGTTGATGTAATCTGATGATGATGACTTAAGATCCATTTGGTGTTACTGTGTGTGTGTTGATGTAATCTGATGATGATGACGTAAGACCCATTTGTGTGACTGTGTGTATGTGATGATGTCAGAGTGTGTTGATGTAATCTGATGATGATGACTTAAGATCCATTTGTGTTACTGTGTGTGTGCTGATGTAATCTGATGATGATGACGTAAGACCCATTTGTGTGACTGTGTGTATGTGTGATGATGTCAGAATGTGTTGATGTAATCTGATGATGATGACTTAAGATCCATTTGTGTTACTGTGTGTGTGTTGATGTAATCTGATGATGATGACGTAAGACCCATTTGTGTGACTGTGTGTATGATGATGATGTCAGAGTGTGTTGATGTAATCTGATGATGATGACTTAAGATCCATCTGTGTTACTGTGTGTGTGTTGATGTAATCTGATGATGATGACGTAAGACCCATTTGTGTGTACTGTGATGTGTGTTGATGTAATCTGATGATGATGACGTAAGACCCATTTGTGTTACTGTGTGTGTTGATGTAATCTGATGATGATGACGTAAGACCCATTTGTGTTACTGTGTGTGTGTTGATGTAATCTGATGATGATGACGTAAGACCCATTTGTGTTACTGTGTGTGTGTTGATGTAATCTGATGATGATGACGTAAGACCCATTTGTGTGACTGTGTGTATGTGATGATGTCAGAGTGTGTTGATGTAATCTGATGATGATGACTTAAGATCCATTTGTGTGACAGTGTGTGTGTTAATGTCAGAGTGTATTGATGTAATCTGATGATGATGACGTAAGACCCATTTGAGTGACTGAGTGTGTGTTGATGTCAGTGTGTTGATGTAATTGCATGATGATGTAAGGAACATTTGTGTGACTTTGTGTGTGTGTTGATGTCAGGGTGTGTTGATGTAATGGGATGATGATGTAAGGAACATTTGTGTGACTGTGAGTGTGTGTTGATTTCAGGGTGTCGGATGTAATCTGATGATGATGTAAGACCCATTTGTGTGACTTTGTGTGTGTGTGTGTTGATGTCAGGGTGTGTCGATGTAATTGGATGATGACGTAAGGAACATTTGTGTGACTGTGAGTGTGTGTCGATGTAATCTGATGATGATGTAAGGAACATCTGTGTGACGGTGAGTGTGTGTTGATGTAATCTGATGATGATGTAAGGAACAGTTGTGTGACTGTGCATGTGTGTTCTGATGTCAAGGTGTGGGGAGGAAATCTGACGATAATGTTAGGAACATTTGTGTGACTGTGTGTGGTTGTTGATGTAATCTTATGACATCGAAAGGAACATTTGTGTGACTGTTTGTATGTTCATGTCAGGGTGTGTGATGTAATGGTATGGTGATGATGACGTATAGTGGTGTGGTGTGTAGTGGTGTGGTTGAGTAGTGCGGTGGAGGTAGTGTGTCGTTGTGTTGTGTGGAGGCCTTGGTGTAGTGTCGTGGTGCTAGAGCAACATAGTGGAATGAGTCATTGTTTTAAGTAGCATCAACAATGTTAGTGTAACGTACACTGTGGTCTAATTAGACATGCTTTCCCCTTCTCTGTCCGCAGTTTTGTCGTTGTCTTCTCTGGGTTGCAGATTGTTATCAGCAATGTAACGTTGCAAGAAGGCTCGGCAGGCGTTGTATCCACGCTGCAAAGGCATCATTATCATAATTTGTTGCGTGCATAGTTTGTGAAAGTTTTAATTTGGTTGAGAAACACTTAAATAATATAATAATGTGTCGTCCATTGTTCTGTTAAACCTACCCACCCACTGCAAAGACAGATTAATTATGGTTATCAATCAATCTTATGTTCTCTAACTTCTTTGGAGTAGTAAGCTTCGACAAGGATCCTCACTCTGTCCGTAGCTTTTCTGTATGTAGGCAAACACTTACCATGACAACGAACCTCTTGTCCGCATCCTCCAGCTCGAAGTCTGTGGTGTCCACATGTCCAGTGTTGATGCCAACAGTCCTGTCAATGTCACACGGCTGTTGGATAAATGAATATTTCAATAAAGCATTTGATTTCATGGTATGAAAAATTCAAAAAAAGAACAGTTACTTGTAATACTTTCAGATGTTCACCTCCATTGCCTTAATGCAAAACAAATATCTATGACTAGCTGCCGTGTATTGTATTCTTCACACCACTGACAAAAAAAGGGGGGGGGGGGGGTTAGCTTAGTGGTTAAAGCGTCCGCTCGTCACGCCGAAGACCCAGGTTCGATTCCCCACAGGGCTAAAAATGTGCGAAGCCCATAGCTGGTGTCTCCCGCCGTGATATTGCTGGAATATTGCTAAAAACGGAGTAAAACCATACTCACTCACTCACTCACTGACCGTACCTTTTTTCCTTTGCACCGTTTGTTGCAGTATTGTCTTCCAGGTTCAAGTTTACGTGCCTATGCATGTATTTGATATGGTTGCCATGCTACCAAGGGTAGCACACGCTAGCCTGTTAGAGAAGACCTGGTTTTATTCACTATTTGATAATCATTCATAACACATGCTGACGCTAATGTCGGAATTGTGCAATTAATCATATATATAAACGTAATCATGCATATATATTCTGTAGGTGGCCACGGTTTTGACAACCTAGTCTCAACTCAAGTCTGTTCCCTAAGATCAAATTGTGTTTAAAGAATTAACAAAACGTCTCTGTTATTTAAGGCCGTGTTCAGCAACATGGTCTGTAAATAATGGGTAAGGCAACCCAATGGTCGACATGCTGAGCATCAGTGTATTCAGCTGGGATACGATGGCAAGCATCCATCAAGACAGTGAGTCTGACCACCCGATCCTATTAGTCATCTTCTATGGAGAGCATTGGTTCATGCAAAGATATTCCAACCCAGTTCTTCAAGTGTATTCCGGAACCGATTGGCCTGATATTGGGTTAAAACTAATATACTTTATTCCTATTTACACAATATTTAGGTAAGGTTTACATTGTTCAGGTCGACAAAACTATAAAATCCAACCATGGCATTTGGTTTTCAAGTATTGTTTTGGTTAATTTGATAATTGATAGAGCAAGAGGATCTGAGTGGGAAATCAGCGACGTGTAACGTGAGTGAGTGAGTGAGTAACACTCACCGCTTGTAACAATATTCCAGCAATATCATGGCGGGGGAAACCAGAGATGGGCTTCACACATTGTACCCATGTGGGGAATAGAACCCGGGTCTTTGGCGTGACGAGCGAACGCTTTAACCACTAGGTTACCCCAACGCCCCCTGACGTGTAACGCGGTGGCAAGGGTATGGTAGTATAGTCTGGTGGTGTCAGGGTGTAGTGTTGTGTCTGGGCGTAACTACGGCGCACTTATACAGCAATAAAGAATCATTTTAAGCATTTTCCACACATACATTCAATGGGAATAGTTTTTGTTAGGCATCATTGAATGTGTTCTTTAAGTATAATTTCATATCAATAATATTTGCTACATGCATATTTGGTTTTGTTCTTTCCCTGTTGGTAGATATACGTAGACAAAATATGGATTTAAGTTAGAAATTTGGGATCAAACGTCACTTTGACTGTTAGGGCAGGGCATAAACCTTTTCCTGAAAACCTGGCATTATCTGTGATCCAGTATTCCATGCATATAGTGTTTACATCTATTTCCTCCTGTATACCAAACGGAATTTGTTTCTAAGGATAGTCCAGACTGGGTTATATTCTTTTGCACTGACGTTCTAAATTTTTCTGCGACATCACTGCATGTCAGCATAATGTGGGAGAAAATCCCGGAGTAATCCTCGTCTCAGACGGTACCACAGTATTGTGAAAAGCACGAAAAACTAATATTGTTTCTGGGCCGCTGATGTTTATCTGCATCATTGAAAAATACACATCGATCATTATTTTAATGATAAACCTCTGACAGTTAAATACAAAAGAAACAAGAAAAGACAAAACAAACCAACAAACAAAAAAACCAAAAAACCAACACACCCACTAAAAAAACCCAAAAAACAAAACAAACCAACTTTTTCTGAAGGGTTGATATAACAACAACACACACACACGCACGCACGCACGCACGCACGCACACACACGCCGAACCATACCTTAGTAGTCATCTTCCTGATGTTCAGGAGAAGTGTATTTTGGATGCTATTAACATAGCTCGGTAAACTGTTTACAACGCTTCTTCTGACGCCAAGTGATCGCTGCCGAATATTGATGCCATGGTCTTCCATAAAACTCAAAAGTTCACTGTAATGAATCTGTAAAATAAACAATCCGAATACAGTCATACTTATTTTTGTTTGTTTGTTTGTTTGTTTGTTTTAACGCCACGCTCAACAATATCCCAGCTACATAAGGGCATTTTATGAAATAATCGAGTCTGGACCAGACAATCAACCGATTGGAATCATGCCCATCCATCTGCGCAATTGGGATACGATGACATGCATCAACCAAGTAATTGTACATATCCCGGCTGTGCGGTTCGTTGCTCTTAATATCAATCACCTTATTAGAGAAGCATTTCCACAAGCCGTGCTGTAGCAGGGATTTTGCAGGATACGTTGTTTCACAGCACTAACAAGTATATGGTAGATATGTATTTCAATGGTATAGGTTCTGGGGTCTACTGAGGACAAAGTACTAAACTGGTTGTTCAGCAATGCCAGCAAAATACGCGTTTGTGAAATGAAAAAAAGAAATGCTTTTTCATCTCTATTGGGTATCATGCCTCTCTGCCCTACAACTTGCCAACTTGTACACTTTACTGTCTCCATTACCGTCAATATTTACCTCCCCTGTGCCATCTTGGTCCAAAATATGAAACGCTTGTTCTGGACTCACACCTTCCCCGAACAGAATTTGGGCCTGGTCGTTCGTGAATGACCCCTAGAATAAAAAATAACATCAATCAATCTTCATATTCCAATGTATGATTTCACCTTACCATTATGATAATTGTCTTCTTAAGAAAAACATAGGCGAGTATGGTGTTACGAAAATATTCAAGCAATAAGAGATGGTGGACACAAACAATGGGCTCCAAGCGCTGAGAATCACACTCATGTCTTCGACGTGATGTAGGAACGCTAAACCACGAAGTATACCGTCGTCTCATCAATGAAGGGAGGTAGAATGTGCTGCATACAAGAGAGAGTGAGTGAGTGAGTGAGTGAGGTTTTAGCAATATTCCAGCAATATCACTGCGGGGTACACCAGAAATGGCCTCCACACATTGTACCCATGTGGGGAATCGAACCGATTCAAACGAGCGTAACGAGCGAACGCTATTACCACTAGGCTACCCCCATCGCCCGCATAAAAGAGGAAACAGGTTGCCCAGAGACATGCTTCGTGAGCGAGGTAATCGAAAATACCTGGCTTCGGTAACAAGACATAATATTCAGCTGCCTGACAATGTCCACTTCTTGGTCCGACGTGAGAGGTCAACCAAAGAAGTCAAAATTGTTTTAGTATTTAATACACGGTTTACACATCATCGTATCCCAGTTCGTAGATGAATGTTCGTGATATCAATCACTGGATTGTTTGGTCCAGATTCGATTATTTAACAGTCCGTCGCCATATAGTTGTAATATTGCTTATCACGGCGTTAAACAAACAAACAAACAAACACACGGTTTACATCACATATTCGAAAGGCAACAATAATGACGGTGTTTTGTCAGACTTGTATTGTATTCCCTCTTCAGGTGGAAATACACTGGGGGGAAATTCCCTCGTCAGGATACCCTTGAAGATACGGGTTAGAATTGATTTTGTTGCAAGAGGTGACTGAAGGGATCGGGTGTTCAGGTTCGCTGACTTGGTTGACACATGTCATCGTAGCCCATTTGCGAAGATCAATGCACATGCTGTCGATCATTGGATTGTCTTGTCCAGATTCGATTATTTACATACCGCCACCATATAACTGGAATATTGCAGAGTGCGGCGTAAAACAACAGACAAACCAAAAACAAACCCTCGTCAGGTCAAAGACATATGTTCTATTATCTGTTCCCAGACAATGTGTGGAGGCAACTGCGTGTGTCTCTCGCGGGAATAATGCTGAAAGCTACACAAACAGACGGTATTTAAAACTACGAGACGTACACCTTTCATGGCGTTTTCCAACTCCTTCCGGCCAATGACCTTGTCCTGATTCATATTGCACTGGTCAATGACCTGAAACATAAAAATACTTAGGGTCTGAATCAGTTGTTGCTTACATGTAGGAATCAGTATAGATCAAGTGTAAGATTCAGACAGTTCTATTTCTGTTTACAGGCCATGGCCCACAATACAGTACATTTCCAAATTATTTATTTTGATGCTGATAAACCAGTAACAAAAATACAATATTGCCAGAACATTACTACAATAGCAAACAATTTTGCACAATGTATAGGCATAATATATTCTTCTAAACATATGAATCTTAGTATGCAAAATATTAACAATAATTATGCATTTCTGATTTTACGAACCTTTATCAGAAATTAGGCAATACAAAACAGACACATTTACATCCTCACATGACACAAGTCTTCCAAAACCTTCCCTACACGGGTTACTAATATATGTATGGTCAAAACATTGCATCGTTACCAACTAATGATATGCCTTTGCTGTGGCAATATAACCAGAGTCTATTACAGTATAGTGTATCATTATGCCTCCCTGCTTCAGTTGCAAGTTTAAAGTTATTTTACATATGAAGTGGCTTAAAACATGTTTGTACTACCATGGAATAGTTAAGGAAACATATCTTTCAACTTGTAACATTGTCTTAAACTGACACTTAAATGTTGAAGAGTATGATGCCAATCCTAGCTCAAACAATCAAACAATCTCTGCTTAAAAAGTGAGATAAACATTTTTACATTTCCTATGTCCCGACTTATCCATAAAATACCAAAGCCAATTTGAAATAAATTATTTCTGATATGCGATGCCCATGTAATTCTCCCTACATCATTAAGTGTCTTAAGCATACAATAAGCTTGATAAGGTATTCTATTGTTATTCATCATAATCCTATTGTTATTCTTGATAAGGTATTCTATTGTTATTCATCATAATCAGTTTTGATAAGGTATTCTATTGTTATTCATCATAATCAGTTTTGATAAGGTATTCTATTGTTATTCATCATAATCAGTTTTGATAAGGTATTCTATTGTTATTCATCATAATCAGTTTTGATTTATTGATAATCTATTGTTATTCATCATAATCAGATTTGATAAGGTATTCTATTGTTATTCATCATAATCGGTTTTGATAAGGTATTCTATTGTTATTCATCATAATCAGTTTTGATAAGATATTCTATTGTTATTCAACCTAAACAATTTACACCAGTATTTTACTGGTTTTAACATGTAATTATACTGAAGGGGAACCCTGCCACATTCATCCAATGTCATAACATTACATGTATATTTATACAGCCTCAATACCCTCTTATATAACTGTGTTTGTACTTTTGCAACAAATTGTGACTAATAAACACCCCATATCTTTGCTACATAAGTAATTATAGGTACAGCCATTGTGTAAAATACTTCAAATACATTAAATAAAAAACTAGTCCATATTTATGTTGATAACCATAGAATGACATTAAAGTTTTATTTGCCTGAGACGCTAGACAACTCTGTGCCCTAGTCCATGATGGAGTAGGAGTAAACACAACACCAAGGTATCTACAATTGTTAACATTATCTATTCTGCTGTCCTTATAGTACCATTTGTCATAGGATCTAAGAGTACCACCTCTACGAAACACCATGATTATATTTTTGTTTCCAGAATATTTATCTTCCTTTGGAGCAGAGCTACAGCATCACTATCACCAGAAATATCATCCGCAAAAATAATGCAACCACATGTGAACCGTCTTGTGACATGAAGATACCATTTCCATCTTTCTCCTCAAGCATTAATGACAACCGATTTATGAAAATGATAAATATTATAGGACTCAAAATGCAACCTTGTCTAGTTCCGGTATTACACTGGAAAAACTCTGTTATTCCATTGGGTGTTCTAATGCAGGATAAAAGATCTGTATACATTGAAAAAGAAATTCCCAAAAATCTACCTTTAACACCGATATCATATAACCTCTGAAACAGAACTCTATGATAAATACAATAAAAAGCCTTACTAATATCAATGAATATACAATAGAACCTGTCATTTTTCTTTGAGGGATCTTTTTCAATCATTGCTTGCAAGAAGAATATTTGATCAACAGTTTGGCCTGAAACCAACTTGTAACTCTGAAATAACATTTCTCTTCAAGTTATCAACCTCTTTTCTAAAACGGCAGCAACAGTTTACAGAAGGTATCTATTAGTGAAATCCCTCTATAATTATCAACACTCATTTGTCTCCAGACAAATAGGGAGGTAATACATTTATCGGGCCGAGCCGTAGATGCATCCAGGATACCAGTGAAGATTTATCGGAATGTATACCCTGGAGATTATCGAGGATGTACATCGTCGTACCGGACGTCATATGTCGTTGCTCATCAACCACTAGTTTATGCTCACAATCAATTGTCTTGCAGTCCGTTGTTAAACAAATATAATATTGCTGACTGCAGCGTTGAAGAACATTCAGTCATCCACCTTGAGGGTGGGGTGGGGGTGGGGGGGTTAATAGTTTAGTAAGAATTAAGTCTCCAACGAATTTGTAAATGAGAAATCAGAAATGTTTCCGATTTTAAATATCTGGAAATATGTGCATTCATATTAAGATTTTTAATGGATGTGGTATGAAACTTGTGTGCCTGTCATTGTTTTACCATGATTTACCTTCAAGAACGAATTCATGGCGTCTGTTATCTTCTGGTGGATTCTTTTAGCTTTATTCATGTCCTCTTTTTTCTCTATCCAATTCCTTCAACAACAATCCATACATTGAGGGATGAAGGAATTACAGGCAGTGACAGACAAAGTCATACATGTTATATGCAATGTGGTGGTGGGTCATTTGAGACTATCATCATGTAACAGAGTTATTCACGTGAGAAAGTGAGTGAGTAGTTTTACACCGCTTTTAGCAGTATTCCAGCAACATCACGGCGGGGGACACCAGAAATGGGCTTCACACATTGTACCCATGTGGTGACTCGAACCCGAGTCTTCGGCGTGACGAGCGAACGCTTTGACCACCAGGCCACCTCACCACTCCCACTTGACAAAGACACTGTGTTAAATAATCAGAGACTTTAACCATTTTAACAAAGGTACTGAGGAAGATTCAATGCCTCTCACAACGGTTTTTAAGTTATAACAAAGCCAGTCGATTTGACTGAATAAGAATAGTTTAACGTCGCCTCCAGCAATATTCCAGCAATATCAAGGCTGGTGACACGCCTCAGAAGTGAGTGAGTGAGTGAGTTCATATTTAACGTCACATCGGCAATATTTCAGCCATATTGTGACGACAAAAAGTTATGTATTAAGAATAAACATATGTATACTTATTCAAAAACCTGCCAGCGAAGGACAGTATAACGACTAGAATATCACAATTCGATTAAAACTAGTTTGTGTTCAGTGTAAAATGTTAAATCATTTAAAAACATCACAATATAAAAACGGGCTATAGATCGCCAACAACTGAAGGTAGATCACCATACTAGGGACTACACGCCCCAGAAGCCTCCTGACATTACTGTATTTTAGACTTGCATGGGCAGTAATGGATATATTTGTTTCAGCGACAGTCTTGCTAGATACTAACTTGTATAAACATAAATAATTTCCTGGATTTCATCTTCTTTTTATTCTTTAATACAACGTTTCGGGGCCTGTTCCGGCCCCATCATCAGGTAAAACTAATGAACAGTGTTCCGGTCCCATCATCAGGTAAAACTAATGAACAGTGTTCCGGTCCCATCATCAGGTAAAACTAATGAACAGTGTTCCGGCCCCATCATCAGGTAAAACTAATGAACAGTGTTCCGGCCCCATCATCAGGTAATACTAATGAACAGTGTTCCGGTCCCATCATCAGGTAAAACTAATGAACAGTGTTCCGGCCCCATCATCAGGTAAAACTAATGAACAGTGTTCCGGTCCCATCATCAAGTAAAACTAATGAACACTGTTCCGGCCCCATCATCAGGTAAAAATAAGTAACAGTGTTCCGGCCCCATCATCAGGTAAAACTAATGAACAGTGTTCCGGTCCCATCATCAGGTAAAACTAATGAACAGTGTTCCGGTCCCATCATCAGGTAAAACTAATGAACAGTGTTCCGGTCCCATCATCAGGTAAAACTAATGAACAGTGTTCCGGTCCCATCATCAGGTAAAACTAATGAACAGTGTTCCGGTCCTATCATCAGGTAAAACTAATGAACAGTGTTCCGGTCCCATCATCAGGTAAAACTAATGAACAGTGTTCCGGCCCCATCATCAGGTAAAACTAATGAACAGTGTTCCGGTCCCATCATCAAGTAAAACTAATGAACACTGTTCCGGCCCCATCATCAGGTAAAAATAAGTAACAGTGTTCCGGCCCCATCATCAGGTAAAACTAATGAACAGTGTTCCGGTCCCATCATCAGGTAAAACTAATGAACAGTGTTCCGGTCCCATCATCAGGTAAAACTAATGAACAGTGTTCCGGTCCCATCATCAGGTAAAACTAATGAACAGTGTTCCGGTCCCATCATCAGGTAAAACTAATGAACAGTGTTCCGGTCCTATCATCAGGTAAAACTAATGAACAGTGTTCCGGTCCCATCATCAGATAAAACTAATGAACAGTGTTCCGGCCCCATCATCAGGTAAAACTAATGAACAGTGTCCCGGCCCCATCATCAGGTAAAACTAATGAACAGTAACTGTTACTGTGTCCATGGCTGGAACAGGCCCCAAAACGTTGTATCAAAGAATAAAAATAAGATGAAATCCAGGAAAATATTTATGTTCATCAAATAGCGTCTTCTAAAATGCCAATCACGGAACTAACTTGTATAGTTTCGTTTCTACACTTGGTTTGACCGGTTGGACAGACTTGACCTTCCTCTCGAGACTTTGCCTCAGATAATCTCTTTCATTGTCCGCGTACTGTGGACACAGAAATGAAACAAGTTCAACAAAGGCTGTAATACACTTCGTAATGGCATTCTTTGTGTTATTATATATATTTGTAGCCTCTCTTCCCAGACAGAACAACAGGGGCAAGTGAAATCATTGCTATTTCTCGCAATTATTATTTTGGGCATTTTAGAACCAACTTAAAAAGTTAAAACGTTGAATTTTTATAACATCTTTGGTTAAATGACACAGTTCATAACGGATCGAGAAAAGTGACAAAAGCGGTTCTACAGAGAAAAGTTGATAACTCTTGCTTTCAAAATATTCAGAAGGAACAACAAAAGCTCTTACACCAGATGTTGTATCACATTTTTCAGACAACCTGAACATTTTACAAATATGGTAAGTATTTCAGATGCCATAAATGTTTTTTGGATGCGGAATATTTGGATGCTCCTATTTCGTTTTAATGAAATAACATATTTTGTAGACGTCTTAACTTGTAGTACGTCTTGTTGGTGTAAAGGACGGTACACATATGATTCTCGCTTCGCATACTCGACTCCCTTTCATGGTTTGAAAGAAGCAACTTAATATCTAGTCTATTTATTAGTATTTGAAGGACATACATCAGTTATTCATATACTATTTAGACAATAACTACCGAGTGACGGAGAAAGACAGATTATTTTCCCCGAGTTATCTGAATTACGTAATTGTCAAGCCTTGGCGAGAAAACTACATAATCAAAATATCGAGGGAAAGATAAGGTGTGTAACATACGCTTAACAAACACCCATCACAGGTAGAAACTGTTCATCTCGCAACTGCTTTCCAGCTTGATAAATACATGCATGTAGGTGTCCTAAACGTCATATGTATGTGGTTTACGTGTAATGTCCTCCAGTACTTACCCATGCTTGTTGTAAGAGGCAACTAACGGGATCGGGTGGCCAGGCTCGCTGACTTGGTTGACACATGTCATCGGTTCCTAACTGCGCAGATGGATGCTCATGCTGTTGATCACTGGATTGTCTGGTCCAGACTCGATTATTTACAGACCGCCGCCATATAGCTGGAATATTGCTGAGTGCGGCGTAAAACTAAACTCACTCACTCACTACAGTACTTACTAACAGAAAGCCGAGCGTTTTGTTGGAGCGGCTGGCCTGGTTGAACCTGTTTTCAAACAATGTTGGGAGGTCGTCCAACGGCTGTAGACGTGCGATGAAGTTGTCAGATTTATCCATTGACAGGAACCAACCTGTGGGATATTTCTACATATTACATCATATCTGGGGCCCGTTTCACTAAGCGATCGTAGCGCTACGACTGTCGTAATTCTATGTTAAAGTATGGGAAATACGATCACCTTAGCGCTACGATCGCTTTGAGAAACGGGTCCCTGTTCTCTAAGAAAGGTCTCAACCAAATGATATCGTAATTATTCAAACTAGAAACTAGCTAAGATACATAGCGTTCACTTCATGTTAGTGAACGCTATGTATATTAGTTCGTTAGTAACGTTCTACATGACCCTCCTTAATGTAGTGGACAGTCCGCCAGCCCAGAGAGCTGTTGTTGGTTTGTTGTTTTACGCCGCACTTAACAATATTCCATCTATATGGCGGCGGTCTGTAAATAATCGAGTCTGGACCAGACAATCCAGTGATCAGCATCAGGAGCATCAATTGGGATACGATAACGTCACAAACGTGTCAACCAAGTCAGCGAGCCTGACCACCCGGTCCCGTTAGTCGCCTCTTATGACAAGCTGAAGACCAATTCTAACCCGCATCTTTATTAGTACCTCCCGGGTTAGAAAGAATATTGATCTTCAGTAACCCATCCTTGTCGTAAGAGGCGAGGTGACACATGTCATCGGTTCCCAATTGCTCAGATCGGTGCTCATGCTGGTGATCACTGGATTGTCTTGTCCAGACTCGATTATTTACAGATTAAATTAGTACCTCGATTATTTAGTACCTCAGTGGGCTAATGCCTTAAACTCTATTTCCATATTAGTACAAGCTGTGAGAGGAAACAGGTGTAGACACAGACACACATGCACTGAATTAAACGTAGACACGTGTCTCACACAGACGTAAGCAAAAACACACCGATACTGACACACACACACACAGACACGCACATAGACACGCACGCACACACATAGACACGCACGCACACATAGACACACACATAGACACACACACATAGACACGCACACATAGACACGCACACAAAGACACACACACACATATAGACACACACACACACATACACACACACATAGACACACGGTGCACATGCACGTTTAACAATACTTACTGCCACACAATGCCCCTCATTACCCCATTACCATGATAATCTACACTCTTTAGTGAAAAAGAGAAAGAAATAACAAAATGGACACTATTTCAAAAAACTTCTCACTGAATATTGGTGTAGCTTTGATAGTGCTAAAAGAAAGCAATGACATAAAGAACTGTGATTTGTACCCGAGTTTGGACTCTATTAGAAACAAATGAATGAATTTTGCAGACATTAAATAGATTAGAAATATACTTTAGGATAACTTCTGTGAGAGGCATTTAGAAGTTGGATCAGTAAGGAGGAATAACGATATATGGATGACCAACTTCTTTGTTACAGTGAGAGTGATGTTTCGGGGTAGGTTCCAGAATAAGGGAGGAAAAGTATACATACAAGTGTGAGGAGATGTTTAATTTGTACAGTTCAAGGTAATGTTTGTACAGTACAATACTCTAGGATGTTGACAGTTTGGAAGGTCAGTAAATAATATAAATAGCAACCCTTGTCGTAATGAGCAGTCCTCACCGTCAAAACAGTGTACTGGGTAGTTACAGAGAGTACCGCCATCAATGAAGGTGTCCTCAGAGCCGTGCTGGTTATATAGTATAGGTGTAAACAGACCTGTGAACAACAGATACACAGATGTACACATATTCTTCTCCTCGGAGTTAGTGAGTATGATTTTACGTCCGTTTTACCAACATTCCACCAATATTCAAGCAACATGCCAACAGCATCGTGGCGGGGACACCACAAATGGGTTCACAGATTGTACCCATGTGGGAACCGAACCCGGGTCTTTGACAATATGAAACACAGCGATCAAAGGCTTACCTGGGAGAGACATTGACATGCGCACTGCGACCCTGACTGGCATATCCGGTGTAGTTTTGGGGTGGCAGTATTCTGCTGTCATGAGGTTCAAGTTGGTGACGACGACGCACAGCTCGCGGCCATATTTCTTCCGAATCTGACGTATTGGATGGGTTCAGTAAAACATGATAACATTAATGATAACAATTTATTCCACCCGTGAGGATCAGGGTTAGAACTGGTCATTAGAACACCCAGAATGCCTCCTTCGACAAGCATGGGTTGCTGAAGACCAATTCTAACCCGGATCTTCATGGGTACCAGTGTTCAGGAACAGCTAACACGCCCAAAAGGAAGCGTGACTTATTCTTGTGGGTACAAAGTGTGGTGTAGTACGATGCAATCTGAGCACAAGGGTGATCAAAGCTCCCATTCCTCAACATAGACTTTTTATGTACAACGATGCCCAGCATATAAGCAGAATTCTAATATACTTGAGATATTATTGATGTTTAAAAAATGTGTTCTATTTCGTCACTGATGAAAATCACTAATCTCTTTCTGGCGTCATAGTTTCATGAAAGTTTTTGATAAATATGTCTTACTTATGGTAAATAACAATGTTCTACCTGTTCAAACGTGATGTCTTCAGACCCTGTCTTTAGTCGTAATATGTCGCCAAACCATTCGTAGATTCTATTTCCTGGGTGCCAGCCAAATCTCTTGAACAGGTTCCGTACACCACCAAAAAATCCCCCGTCTGCAAAAACACAAAACGATTTTTGTTATAGATGAATTTTAAAGAAATGGTTTCTGACACATCACAAAAACGATGCACTAATACATGCAGAAAACAAATAAATTATCATGCAATGCCCTTATACCCGAGATATCAAGCGATCCTAAGAATTGTTTTAGTGAAATTGCAGCTAAACCAAATATGTCACCGATGAAGTGAGTTAGTGAGTGAGTATGGTTTTACGCCGCTTTTAGCAAAATTTCAGCAATTTTACGGCGGGGACGCCGTTAAATTAGCTTCACACATTGTACCCATGCGGAAAATCGAACTCGGTTCTTGGGCGTGTCGGGCGAACGCTTTAACCACTAGGCTACCCCACCGCCCCCGTCACCGATGAAAGTAGTAGAAGATCTTAATCGTCTTGTAATGTGTATGAGTAGTGTTCTGTATTCACCTGGACTGCTGGTACTGTACGGGACATGTTCACTGCATGTTTGAATTGGAACTAAGTCTATCTCCGCATATGAACACATCAGATAATTTTTAAAATATTTCAAAAAATTGTTTTACGTTTCTTAAAACAAGTAGGGACTGTTGTCAAAAATGGATTTTACCACACCTTGTCGCAATCCATTTTGTCACCATGGGGATTTCAAGTAAGTATATGTTCAAACACTATTGTTGTCGTAAGTTGGATCGGGTTGTCAGGTTAGGTTGATGGTTGATGTAATGCATGGCGTTATGTGCCAATCTTTGGGAGATGTCAATCAGTGAAATGCCTAGTAAAGACTCGAATATATACTGACTGCCATAAATCTGGGATATTGATGACTGTGGCTTAAAAAACATCTGTTACATTGAAATCTCACTATGAAATGTGGGGACTATGTTTTCTTGTTCAATGCGTCGACAGGTTTTAATCTTCAAAATGTTTTCACTCTTTATTGTATAAAGTGTTACGATAAGGCTGAGATATTGCCGATGTGACGTTAAATATTAACTCACTCACTCTTGTTCAATGATACGTCAATGGCACAGTATCCCTATCTCATGTCACTGTAACCTCCATACCGCTTACACATCTAGTAGGGGCGGTGGGGTAGCCTAGTGGTTAAAGCGTTCGCTCATCACGCTGTAGACCAGGGTTCGATTCCTTACATGGGGACAATGTGTGAAGCCCATTTCTGGTGTCCCCAGTCGTGATATTGCTGGAATATTGCTAAAAGCGCGTAAAACGATACCCACTCACTCACTACACATGCAGTACAAAGACGACCAGGGGCTCCTTTCACGAAGCAACCTTTACTAAGGTTAACCTTAACTCCCATTCTTTAACATTGCACTAAGGCGTGAGTCACTAAGGTAACCTAAGTGCAATGTTAAAGAATGGGAGTAAAGGTTAACCTTAGTAAAGGTTGCTTCGTGAAAGGAGCCCCTGATCAGTAAGTACAAAGCGTCAAGGCTTGAGATTACCCAGTCTAGTATATCTACAGAAAAGACATGAAGGCAAAATATTGATGGCATGTATACGAAAGGATCATGTTTCCACGATATTGGTGTTTGCGACAGTATGAGCTTGTTCTTCTTTTAATTGCTAGTAGCACTCGTAACGCACAATGGTTTGATGTAAATGTTTCATTCTTGCCTAATGCTCAAAGTAAAGCAACTGTGAAATGTGGGCATATGTGACCAGCTGTAGAAATAGTGTGAGTGAGTTTAGTTTTACACTACTTTTAGCAATATTCCAGCAATATCACGGCGGGGGACACCAGAAATGGGCTTCACACATTGTACCCATGTGGGGAATCGAACCCGGGCCATCGGCGTGACGAACGAACGCTTTATCTACTAGACTACCCCAGCGTCCCGGTAGTAATGGACTGTCACAAGGTGTATGCATCATAGTCACCTGAGGACCAAGTTCACGTTTAAAGCTTTATAAACGACCAAACAGACCTTACCGCGTAATAGTTCGTTCCAATCCTCTCCCATGTAGGATTCCATCTCACTTGAGTCGCAACCAACAGCAATGAGTACAGCCTGTATGGCTCCAGCACTGGCTCCAGATAGACGTACGATCTTTGGCAAAACTCCAATTTCTTCCAGATACTGTAATAAAAACCATACTCTCTATATACTTATGTGTACGCTTGTGGAAGGTACCATGAGTGAGTGAGTTTAGTTTTACGCCGCTTGTAGCAATATTCCAGTAATATCACGGCGGGGGACACCAGAATTGGGCTTCACACATTGTACCCATGTGGGAATAGAACCCGGCCCTCCGCCTCTGGAAGGTATCAAGCGTCGAAACGAATCTCAAAGATAGGGGAACCTACGAATATGGCGCTCAGGTGTCGTAAAACAAGAGTGAATGAGTGAGTGAGTGCGGCGCGGACGAAACAAGATGAGGTTAAAAGTTTATAATCATTTACTGACTGACTGACTGAGTTTGGTTTTACGTCGCTTTTAGCAATATTCCAGCAATATCACGGCGGGGGACACCAGAAATGGGCTTAACACATTGTGCCCATGTGGGGAATCGAACCCGGGTCTTCGGCGTGACGAGCCAACGCTTTAACCACTAGGCTACCCCACAGCCCCTATAATCATTTACAGTGAAGGTGTTCGTAAAAGAATATAAAGAACAGCAAGTACATAGATTCAGGGCATTGCCAGGGAGTTCCAATATTGTTTGCAACATGTAATCTAACCCCTGACGTGATGTCTGTTTTCTTCTTGTAAACCAGGACACGTGGTCGTCGGCAAACCGTTAACCCAGAAGAATAAACTGACTCAATTATCGACCGAAATTTGCATCGAAAAATATACTTCTCTTCAAAAGTTGAGACTCACTAGTGTAAATGTAGCCACTTACTTCAGTCAACTGTTCTAACCTGAATTTGTCAAAATATTCCATACTGTATAAAGGTACTGTTTAGACATGAACTGATGTATTGTAGTAACTCAGCAATATTCCAGCTATATGGCGGCGGTCTGTAAATAATCCAGTCTGGACCAGACAATTCAGTGATCAACAGCATGAGCATCGATCTACGCAATTGGGAAACGATGACGTGTCAACCAAGTCAGCGAGCCTGACCACCCGATCCAGTTAGTCGCCTCTTACAACAAGCATGGGTTTCTGAAGATCAATTCCAACCCGGATTTTCGCAAGAAAAGGAGAAGGGCTGGTGCCAATGGGATGCCCACTTCTTGCTTTAACCTTGCCCCCGACACACAGCGATGGAGCCATCTTACACATGATTGTTTGACTACAAACAGCATCTTAGTCGCGCATGTTACATCGACAGGAAACCCCAGTATTTCACCAGTTGGTTTCTCTGTAACCATTAGACGGAATTTGCCCTATTTTTTTGTTTTTAAACAACGTGCCTGTGAATATAGATATGTACTTGAATCTGTGGTTGCCATTTGATAAGAGAAGGATCTAGGTAGGGCGCTTAGACATTGATAAGTCAAATCCTGAATTATTGTGTGATACTATCCACGTTGCATTCATTCAACTTGTCTCAAATACTTGTGATGTTGTACTAAGAATCGTGATCACGTGAGACAAGTGTTTGCAGGACTAACTGACTTATCGCTTATACTACTTATACCACGTTCTGTCATCTATAATGTAGCGACGCCCACAGACAGTTTGGCTCAAAATCGGACCGATGAATTGCAATCTAACTGAAAACTACCGTACATCTGATACTCTGTGAAACTCTGATCATGATAAAAAAATCAGACCAACTCTGTTATTTTTTTGCAGAATTTATTTCCTGAAAATAGAAAAAGTTGTTAAAAAATCTATCAGCTCACTATTTGTTACGAGGTAAGAATGCAAAGAGAGGAACAGCCAGGTGTACGATTCATTTATTGATTCATTCACCTGTGCTGTGCCGTCTCCATCTTTCTCGTGTGCTTTTTTTCCAGAATTTATTTCGTAAAAATAAAAACGTTGTTTAACAATCTATCATTATACTATTGACACAGCTCACTATTTGTTACGAGGGATGAATACAAAGAGAGGAACAGCGAGGTGTACGAGAAGCACGCTTTCTACCAATGACAACAATGACAATGTCATTGATCTTGGTGCTTTAGGACTTGTAAATTCCAATCTCTGGACTGACTAGGGTACCAGAGTTTGCTGCCAGTAACACATACTTTCAGACATTCTGGGCAATCGAGAAAGCTGCACTACGGTTTTTAGTCTCACATTCTCAGAAAAAAGCTCTTGGTGGGTTCGACAAGGCAGCTCTTTCTTGTGTGTGTGATTGTTTAACGCCGCACTCAGCAATATTCCAGCTATATGGCGACAGTCTGTAAATAATCCAGTCTGGACTAGACAATCCAGTAATCAACATCTTGAGGATCTATCTACGCATTTGAGATGCAATGACATGTGTCAACCAAGTCAGCGAGCCTGACCACCCGACCTCGTTAGTCGCCTCCTACAACAAGCATGGATTGTTGAAGACCAGTTCTAACCGGAATCTTCATGGGTCCGGGTAGAAAGGTCAAGGGCCCTGAAATGATGATCATCACAGCCAACCAGCCGTGCCAGGATTACTTGGAACATGTTTGGTACATTTACGTATTTAATCGGTGAACAATAATGTCCAACAGCGGTAGCCTGCGCCCCTGGCTGATGGTTTCAGGACTGTGTGGACAACGGACGGAAGACAAAAGTATGTGGTTAATTGAAGACGACGGCAGCCATTTTGATTATAGTTGGTGAATAATGGTCGAAATGATACAGGATGATGGTTAACACGTGACAGAATGCACACCGGGACAAGTACGAAAGCCTAATGCTGCCACTTTCGTAGCACAAATATTTTTTTCTGCTACAATTCTTGTTGCTTCGATTATTTACTCGTTACTTCGAGGTTTTTCTCGTTGCTTCGAGTATTTTCTAGTAACTTCAATTATTTTTCGTTGCTTCGATTAATTTCTCGTTGCTTAAGGTTTCTTTCAAAACTTGAAATTTCGAATATTTTCTCACTCCAAGTTTCTTTAAAAACCTTGAAATTTCGAGTATTTATTCGCTACTTCAGTTATGTTTTAGTGACTTCTCATACCTAAAGCTCATCCAAGAAAGTTGCAGGGCCAGGCCACCGGGTACTATTAAAAATGGATTGCAGAATATTGAAACGAAACCTACAATTTTGGGGAGAAACACTTCCTGCCATCACAAATGTATAGTTTGATTGAAAATGTCGATTTTCAGGATGTCATATGATGGAACAGGATACGCATACCTTTTGAGAACACCTGGTAAAGTGCTGCGTTAAACAATGCTCAAACAAAACCACAATGGATTGTCTGGTCAAACTCGATAGTTACACATATGGCAGGTATATTGCTGAAAGTGGCGTTAAAACAACAAACAAACCACACCTCACACTTCACACAAACCACCCAAAACAAACACACACTCATAATATAATCGGAATGTGTACTATCGACTCTGCTTTTCTAAGAGATTTCTTATGGATATGGAACGGGCTTTGTCGCTATTATTTCATGTGGTTCGTTTGCATGGGCGATTTCTTTTCTTTCTTTACTTTTAAAAACTGACGCAACGGACGAACTGAGTGTATCCATACTACATGTATATGTTGACAAACATATCGGAGTGTGAGTGATACATAGTACTATGATTCGTACGTGAGAGGGGTTTAAAAGACATCAACACAAAAATACTATCTTATATTAGGCAGGTTGTTCGCCTGTGTTTCTGGCATACTTTTTAAATGGTAACATTCGATGGGATTCGATTTGATATTTGTCATGGAACGCTACAGTCAAAACAAATATGAAAACAGGGATTCATATGACTGTGGTCCGATGACTTGTGACATGCTTAGAATGAGGCTAAGGGCCCCTCTTTGAGCAACGTGATCGTTTAAATTTCTTCAATCTGAGACTTCATGAAGAAGTTTTAGGTGGATATAACTAGATATATGTACATTTCAGGATACATGTGCGATGTTAAAGTTGTTGTTGATGGCCCGGGACAAGTCAGAGACTTAGCACTTTTGATAGAGGTTCTAATTCTGATGTAGTATTTGTAAAAAACCTTTCCGGGCCGACTGAAATGTATATGGGGATTGACTTAAGTATTTATACGTTTTGAATCCTGTTTCGTTTAATGACTTCTCTTTTAGTCGTAACCTTGCTTAGTCACTTCACAGGCCACTCGTCTTTCTGAGTTTTAAGCGATTTAATAAGGTTATAGTGACACACGTGTGTGGCTTCTTGCTGCCCATATTGTCGTGGGTGTAAGCTGGATTAATTAATTGTAGACATGGTTTTCGATAGTAGCCAATTATATACTTGGCCCTCCTTCAACTTTCTTTCAGAAACTTGAAGCAACGAGAAATTAATCAAAGCAACGAAAAATATTTGAAATAACGAGAAAGTATTCGAAGCAACGAGACAATATTCGAAATTTCTAATTTTTGTCAGAATCTTGAAGCAAAGAGAAAATATTCGAAGCAACGAGAAATTAATTGGAGCAACGAAAAATTAATTGAAATAACGAGTAAATACTCGGAATTTCAAGTTTTTGACAGAAACTTGAAGTAACGAGAAAATATTTGAAATTTCAAGTTTTTGAATAATGGTCGAAATGATACAGGATGGTGGTTAACACGTGACAGCATGCACACCGGGACAAGTACGAAAGCCTAATGCTGCCACTTTCGTAGCACAAATATTTTTTTCTGCTACAATTCTTGTTGCTTCGATTATTTACTCGTTACTTCGAGGTTTTTCTCGTTGCTTCGAGTATTTTCTAGTAACTTCAATTATTTTTCGTTGCTTCGATTAATTTCTCGTTGCTTAAGGTTTCTTTCAAAAACTTGAAATTTCGAATATTTTCTCGTTACTCCAAGTTTCTTTAAAAAACCTTGAAATTTCGGGTATTTATTCGCTACTTCAGTTATGTTTTCGTTGCTTCGATTAACTTCTCGTTGGGAGTACCTAAAGCTCGGTCCAAGAAAAGTTGGGCAGGGCCGGGCCACCGGGTACTACTAAAAATGGATTGCAGAATATTGAAACGAAACCTACAATTTTGGGGAGAAACACTTCCTGCCATCACAAATGTATAGTTTGATTGAAAATGTATGTTCAGGATGTCCATATGATGGAACAGGATACGCATACCTTTTTGAGAACACCTGGTATCTAGTGATTCATAAACCTATGCTCTGTCATTATGTCCACCAATCGATTGTCTGGTCTAGACTCGATAGTTACAGTCATATGGCAGGTATATTGCTGAAAGTGGCGTTAAACAACAAACAAAACCACACACTTCACACAAACTTCACACACACACACACACACACACACACACACACACACACACACACACACACACACACACACACACACACACAAATGCTCATAATATAGTCGGAACGTTTGCTATCGACTCTATCGAGATTTTGTATGGATATGGAACGGGCTTTGTCGCTATTATTTCATGTGGTTCGTTTGCGTGGGCAATTTCTTTTCTTTCTTTACTTTTAAAAACTGACGCAACGGACAAACTGGGTGCATCCATACTACATGTATATGTTGACAAACATATCGGAGTGTGAATGATACATAGTACTATGTTTCGTACGTGAAAGGGGTTAAAAACAACATAACAATACTACCTTATATTAGGCAGGTTGTTCGCCTGTGTTTCTGGCAAACTTTTTAAATGGTAACATTCGATGGGTATCAGTTTGATATTTGCCATGGAACGCTACAGACTAAACAAATATGAGAACAGGGATTCATATGACTGTGGTCCGATGACTTGTGACATGTTGAGAATGAGGCTAAGGGCCCCGCTGTGAGCAACGTGATCGTTCAAAATACTTCAATCTGAGACTCCATAAAGAGGTTGTAGGTAGCTATAACTAGATATATGTACAATTCAGGATACATGTGTGATGTTTAAGTTGTTTTTGATGGCCCGGGACAAGTCATAGACTTAACACTTTTGATACAGGCTGGATATGTAGGGTATGGAGAGGGAAACGGGCTTCACTTTAACAGACCAGTTATCTTTACATGTGGCATTTTGTAACATTGAAAATGATATTTAGGTAGATATAATACTAATCTATGGATTTAAACAAAATTCAAGATACATGTGTGAGATCTAAGTTGCTTTTGACGAGCCGGGCCACACAGAACCGAACAATTGTCACAGTGTGGGGAAAACATCGTATCATGTACTGTGGGCATGCTTTAAATACGATGAACAGTGAACTTCTGAGGTAGTATTTGTAAAAACCTTTCCGGGCCGACAGAAATGTATATCGGGATTGACTGAAGTATTTATACGTTTTGAATCCTGTGTCGTTTAACGACTTCTCTTTTAGACGTAACCTTGCTTAGTCACTTTCACAGGCCACTCGTCTTCCTGAGTTTTAAGCGATTTACTCGTTAAAAGGTTATTATGACACACGTGTGTGGCTTCCTGCTGCCCATATTTTCATGGGTGTAAGCTGGATTAATTAATTGTAGACATGGTTTTCGATAATCAATGCAGTAGCCAATTATATACTTGGCCCTCCTTGACCCGGCTCGGCCCGGCCTGAGTTTTAGGACATCCTCTTCTGGACAGAAACTTGAAGTAACGAGAAAATATTGATATTACAAGTTTTTGATAGAAACTTGAAGTAACGAGATATTAATCGAAGCAACGAAAACATAATTGAAATAACGAGAAAATATTCGAAGCAACGAGTAAATATTCGGAATTTCAAGTTTTGAGAAAAACTTGAAGCAACGAGAAAATATTCGAAGCAACGAAAAAATAATTGAAATAACGAAAAAAATAATCGAAGCAACGAGTAAATATTCGGAATTTCAAGTTTATGAGAGAAACTTGAAGCAACGAGAAAATATTCGAAGCAACGAGAAATGAATCGAAGCAACTGGCCTGTGCACATGCACATAAGTAAGAACCACTGACGTTAGGACATTTACAGATAGCGTAGAGAAATGAGGGTCCTGGCCGGAAGGTCGGGGGTGGAAGGTGAGA